AAACCCTCCCAGTGGGACAGGGAAGCTCATTCCTGGTCCGGAGCCGGCCTGCAGCAGCGCGGTGAAGCCTACATAATTTGTTATATAAGTCGCTCCGGTGTATAAGTCACAGGACCGGCCAGACTATGGAAAAAAGTGCGACTTATAGTCCAGAAAATACGGTATATATATATATATATATATATATATATATATATATATATATATATATATATATATTTTTTTTTTTCCCTAATCTGCATCATCTCTCCCTCCCCTGTAGGAGGTGTCAGAAGTGGATTTTGAACACTCCTCCTCCACAAGTCTACCAGATCTCGTCAGCACCTGTAAATCTTCCTCCTGTCTGTCTCAAACCACAGCCCTGCTCTCCTCCCAGAATCTCAACGTTAGCCAAGACCTCCATCATTCTCACCTGGTAGGTGCAGATGTTCATCGTCACATTTTGTGTTCACTGAACTCTTGTTTTTGCGCTGATCTTTTATTTGGGCTTTTGGGTCTTGCTGCTCTGTCTTCATTCTATCTCACCTGTGTCCGTCTATAGTTAAGTGAACGTCTACATCTATACTTTGGTACTAGTGGTGCAAAGTATCAAAAATCTCACGATTTAGATCGTATCCCAGTTTTCAGTCACGGATCGGATGCACGTGTTAAGCCTTGCTGTTTGTATCATCATTATATCAATCAATCAATCAATCAATCAATCAATCAAATTTTATTTCTAAAGCGCTTTTCAAACAAAGTGTGATTCAAAGTGCTTTACAAAATGACCCCAGATTCCCATAACAGGTTAAAAAACATTAACAAACATATGCAATCACATGCACACACACACACAGACACACACACACACAAGTAAAAATTATATTAGGCTGAGTCCAGATGAGCCAAGTAAGGTTAACGCAAGGAAACGCCATCAGAGGAGCCGTCTGCCCCGGCAGCATCAGGTCTTCCACACTAAGTCAGGGCGCTCAGTGGAGGGGGAGCATAGACCCCCACCTATAGAGCGCCCAGGAAGCTACAGTCGACCACCGCTCCCGGGGCAGAGGGCCCCCACAGAGGAAACACTGGATTAAAATGAGTAAAAATGTAATAAAATAGCTAATATAAATGACAAAAATTAGAAAATAAGTAATAAATAAAAGCATATAGACAGTAAAATAATAATTTAAATAATAAAACTGTGCTAAAATATAATCATATAAAACATGCAAAGCAAGTAATAAAATATAATCATGTAAAACGAGAAATAAAACTGTAGTAAATATTTAGATAAAAGCTAACCTAAATAGGCGGGTCTTGAGTCTTGACTTAAAAACATGAACGTTCTCTGCGGCCCTGAGGTCCTCTGGCAGCTCGTTCCAGAGGCGAGGGCCGTAACACTGGAAGGACGCCTCGCCGTGAGTGTGTGTCCTGACTTTAGGGATGACCAGGAGACGCCTGCCAGAGGAGCGCAGAGGCCGCGAGGGTTCATATGGTTAAAGCAGTTCTGATAGATAAGAAGGCCCAAGACCATTAAGACACTTAAAAACCATTAGAAGAACCTTAAAATTGATCCTGAAACATACAGGGAGCCAATGCAATGACTCTAAAACTGGTGTCATGTGCTCCCGCCTCCTGGTCTTCATCAGGACACGTGCTGCCGAATTTTGTAGAAGTTGTAAACCTGAGATGCTCTTTTTGGGAAGAGCAGAAAGCAGGGCATTACAGTAGTCTATCCTACTGGTGATAAAAGCATCAGCATCTCCGTATTGGCCCGAGAGAGAATGAGCCGGACTCTGGCGATGTTCTTTAGATGATAAAAACCTATTTTTGTGATGTTTTTAATGTGTGGGATAAAAGTCAGCTCAGAGTCAAAAATCACACCCAGGTTCTTCACTTGTTCAGATGGATTAAAAGACAGAGATTGTAATTTCGGTAAAAGCTTCTCTCTCTGGGCCTCAGGACCAATGACTAAAACTTCAGTTTTGTCCTGGTTGAGCTGGAGAAAGTTCTCTGCCGTCCAGGATTCAATGTCTAAAATACAGTTAAAAAGTGCATCCATTGACCGAGAGTCATCAGGAGACACGGAGATGTACAACTGTGTATCATCAGCATAACTGTGAAAGTTAACCCCGTGTCTCCTGATGACTCCGCCAAGAGGGAGCATATAAAGATTAAAAAGCACTGGGCCTAAAATTGAACCCTGGGGCACACCACATGTAATCCCATGGACCCTAGAGGAACAGGTATCCAAGCTCACCATGAAAGTCCTGTCTGTGAGGTAGGATGTGAACCATCTATGTACAGCACCAGAGAGGCCGATCTGTTGTAAACGAGTTAAAAGAACAGTGTGGTCTACCGTATCGAAGGCAGCACTTAGATCCAGTAGGACCAACACTGTCAACTTCTGTTTATCATAATTTACTCTAAAATAATTTAAAATCTTCAGAAGGGCCGTCTCGGTGCTGTGGTTCACCCTAAAACCAGACTGACATTATTAGTGTTTATAAAATCATTTAGTTGATTTAAAACCAACTTTTCTATAATTTTGCTTAAAAATGGTGAGTTGGACACCGGTCGATAATTGTTTAATTCATTAAAATCTAAATTGCTCTTCTTCAACAGGGGCCTCACCACCGCCCTTTTAAAGGCAGCAGGAAAGACCCCCGTCTGAAGGGAGCAGTTCATCAGGGTTAAAATCTCATCACTAAAAGATCCATAAAATTGTTTAAAGAACGAAGTTGGAATTGGGTCCAGAACACATGTGGTGGGTCTCACTGAGGAGAAAACTTTGTTAAGAGTCTCAGCTTCTACCAGGACAAAGCTGTCCAGTGTTTCCTCTGGTACAGACACACATTCAGATTTATCTAAAACCTTATTACTTATGGAGGGTAAAATATTCCCTCTGATATCTTACAGGGAAGCCAAAAGGCTGCCATTCCTCAATGATGCAGGTGGTTTTTCAAGCTCCTCTACTCCTTTGTCATGACCACCGCTGTGCTTTTCTCCTTTAGATTGAACAGGTAGCACCTCTGCCCTCCACGTGACCGATCTGTGAACCGTGGAGAGAGATCTATACAGATCACGGATCTGATGATCCGTTTCACCAAGATTGGTGCCATGTTTTCCTGCCATCTGTGTCCTGCTTTCATCAGAAGTGTTGTAATTAGAAGCTCGTCATGGATTAACTTAAATTATTTAGGAAACGAAAGGTAATTGTAATTAAAGCTGCAAGCAGCGTCATTCGGCCCTCGCAGCTCCGCGCCGCTCCGGCCTGGCGTGGCAGCCCGGGGCACCTGAGCACGTCCACGGTACAGACACTTTGACTCCCCGCGATCCCGTACACTGCAAATAGTCACCTTGTCTGCACCAGAGCTATAGAGAGACAGAGTTGCGACACTCCAATAGACTTCTATGGAAAGAATGGAATGTGGGAGTCACGTGGTTCATGCAGCTTCGAATAGTCCAAACAGCCCCGCTGCTGCATTGACTGCTGCTCATTTTCGGTGTTTCTGAAGGATTTTCTCCGGTAAGTTGATGAAATGTCATCATTTTGTTGCATAGTGAAGCGTTAGCTAACCACTTCGTACCAAAATAAGCCAACGATGATATTTTATGTTGCCAGTTTTAGCTAGATAACCTTTAATGAGCTAACTGTGTGCAGCTTGTTGGTTGTGAGCAGGAGGACGAGCTGTAGACGGTTTATTTCAGTTTGTTTGATTCTACGTTTTAAAAATATTCCCCCCAGTTTGAAATAGGCTATAAACTTTTTACATTATTAGTTTTATTTGGGATTTTTTGTACAATACGTTGCTGTATCAACACGAACATGCATCAGAAATGGAAGCACAAATGGAGAGACCAATAATAAAGAAAATGTGATTGTGAAGACAAGTAATTATTTAATATTTTTCAGTTAATAACACTGACTGCAGCGAACTGCTGAAGCATGAGACAAACAGGATTACGAACGTAAGAAGATATGTTGTTCTGTTTTGTGGACTCAAGTAATAAGAATAGAATTACGATAATTCAAGAATACTAGTGGAACAATAACTTTTAAAAATTAGACATTTTCCATAAAACTGCTCATTTCCACTTGCTTTATAATATCAGCATTTGCAATTTTGTTATTAAGGAATGACAAGAAATAATAATTAACAATAACACAATTATCAATAAATAAATGTCAAATAGTGACTAAAACAAAGATCTTATGTAAGCATTAAAGGTTAAACTGTGTCGTGTGTCCATCTTCATGTTTTCATAGTGGCTGAGCGGAGAGCTGACCAGGAACAACGGTGGTGGCAAAACCCAGTTGGGTCTGTGATGGAGTGATGCACGTCTGGAGTGATTGCCATCTCATCCACAGTGAGCACACTCTCTCTTTCCATCTCTGTCAGATTTTTAACCTGCAAACTGAGCATGTCACACACCTCTCCTAACACACCTGGTTCCAGTTTAACGGGCTGCATTTGTCTGTGCAGGGTTCTAACATCAGGCAGAGGGACACTCGTGTCCTGAAGAAACCTGCAGCCTGTTGAACCCACTGAAAAACAGAGCTGTACGGCCTTTTTGACTTTCTGTTTACTCCCTTAGGTTTTCCAGCTGGGTTCCCTGGTTGCATGGCCTGTTCCTTTCTCCTCCTGGCCCTGACGCCGGCTCCTCATGGCTTCCTGGGATGTCCCTCTCTCCTGATACCATCTCATGCCCCCTCTCATGTTCTCTCATCTCATTTGCCTCACTGCTGCTGCTGCTTTCCTCATTATCTAAAATTATAATGGCACTGTTAGAATAAAGAATCATTTTAAAATAAAATAAATTCAAATGTCTAATATTTCAAAAGATTGGTACCACAGTTTACTGGAGTACATGTGTGGTCACTGGTCAGTGGACCAACATGCAGTGGTTCTGCTGTACTTCTCACTGCGGGATCCTTCCTCCTCCTTGGTTCAGGGCGATGAACAAACAGCATCAGCCCTGAGTCTCACCTTGCCTCGCCTAGTCTTAGTAAACTGTCCCTCCTCTACATGTGCCTGTAGAGTGGTGTATTAGTTTATTTCCTGCCACATTTAACAGTTTAATTGCAGCCTTGTGCAGCTGAGAGCAGAACATGTAGAGCCTTGATAGAAAACATGTGAGAGTGCACATTAAACTCACTGCACACAGCTTTTTGTTACTGTGATCTCTGGTCATGGTGAGGTTGCTCCTGCTGACTTGAGCCAACCATTTTCTTCTTCTCTCTGCATCTTTGGGTAAGCCGTAATTCTGATTCCTCCCTCAGAACGATTGCTATATGCAGCGCAGCCAACCATGTAAGATAATCAACCTATAAAGGGATTATTAAAATACTATTTTTGTACATATAGAAATATTGAACTAAACCAAAAATATAGAAATGTAAAATTACATTTCAAAATTTTATCCAACCCTAAA